CCCTCAGTCTTCTGCCAGGGCTTTCTCTAGGTCGTTTGTATTTCACTCCTTGTTTCCTTTGTATGTGGTTACAGTCCTTGAACAACTTCTGCAGTCAGATTGGGGATGATCGCCCACTGTCCTACTGCCACTTCAGCCCAAATTCCAAACTCCTCGCAACAGCCTGCTGGTAAGTTTTCTTTTATTGCACATGCTGTGGAGACTGGGATTGCGCAGCGGCAGTGGAGAGCACAGAGGGATGTTACCGGAGGCCTGTGAATTGTGAGAGTTCAGAGATGCTTTTTCTTCCTACACTGAGCCCACTCATCACCACATTTTAGAGCTTAACAGAGATTTCAGTCTGTGTTAATCTGCGTGGCTGGTTGTCTGAAGCGTGTTGGTATTTTAGCCATCACAACACCCCAGGGTGGTTTTGCATCCCTGTTTGATCCGTTCTTTGACGTTCCTCTTTACGCTGATGTTACTTCTTGTCTTCAACAGGAGCGGGTTGTGCAAGCTCTGGTCTGTGCCTGACTGCAACCTTGTTCACACCTTACGAGGTACAGAGCAACTTTCACTGAGACTCTTTGCTTTGTTCTTTTCTTTCTCTCTGGGTTGAGGTCCCACATCTGAATTACCTTGTGACTTAACATGTAGTGTCCTTTGGGCAGATTTTATTCTAGTGAGAGCATCGCTCAGGCTTGCAGAGCAGGGGCACGTGTCAGATAATCACAGAGTCATAGAATGTCTTGGGTTGGAAGGGACCTTAGAGATCATCTAATCCAACCCCCCAACTAGCCCGGGTTGCTCAAGGCCTCATCCAACATCTCCAGGGAGGGGGCATCCACAGCGTCTCTGGACAATCTATTCCAGAGTCTTGCCACCCTTGGACTGAAAAATTTCGACCTAAGATCCAGTCTAAACCTATTGTCCGTCCATTTAAATCCATTTCCCGTTGTCCTACCACTGGATGCTCTTGTAAAAAGTCCCTCCCCAGCCTGCCTGGAGGTTCCCTTGAGGCACTGCAGGCAGGGATAAGGTCCCCCTGGAGTCTTCTCTTCTCCAGGCTGAAGAATCCCAGCTCCCGCAGCCTGTCAAGAAGTAGACCTGGCCTTTGTCAAGAAGTAGACCTGACTTTTCTCTTAGAGCAAAGTCCTGAGTTTACTGTTTGTGAATGGTGTTTTGTTTCAAAACCTGGTTTGAGTTATTCTGAGCCAAATACCAGTGTTTTTGGCCAGGTCACTTAGCAGCAGTGAGGTTCTTTGAACAGTGGTCACAGTGTTGACTAAATACAAAATGAAGGACGAATCTCTTGATTCATATGGTGAATTTTCACTGTATTTTGAGGGTTACAAACACTGGCTTTTGATACTCCTGCGTGGGTGCTGCTGGAAGTGTTTAGCTGTTTGCAGGACAGACGTGTCTGAAGTTACAATGTGGCTTCACCTGACACAGTGGTACCTGACTAATTAGTAGCAAAGAAATGCTGCTTTTCTGAAGAGCTGGCTGAGATCACGTGGCAGATCATGGATTTTGATTTCTCCTTTCTCTTCAGGACATAGCACCAACGTAGGAGCGATTGTCTTCCATCCCAAATCCACCGTCTCCATAGACAAGAAGGACGTTAACCTGGCCTCTTGTGCGGCCGATGGGTCCGTCAAACTCTGGAGCCTTGAAAGGTCAGAATGATACCAGACATGCACAGCTGCAGCATTGGTGTTTTGGGACTTATTTTTGTGTTATTAAACACTGGACATTGACCATCCTCAAGCAAATATAACCTTTTCTTGTAGTTATACCAGTGCAATTCCTGGCCTCAGTATGTGCCACCTCCTTCATAGCAGGAAAAGAGCTCACCCTGATTAGGGGAATCAAGGTGAGGGGAAATCATCTGCAAAGAATCAAGTCAGAATTGCTGCTGGGCATTGGTAAACTGCTTTGGGTGATGGATGGAAGATTTGGAGATTGTTTTGTTCTAATCTTTCATTTAGGAGAAAAATTCCTCTCTTGGAGATTAAGAAATGAACTTCCAAGTTGTCAGGAAGTGACAGTGTTCAGAGAGGAACTTAACCAAATACACACAAAAACTTCAGCCTGTAGTGAAAACAAGTGGCTCTGTCACTGTATGATGTAGTTTTTAGAAGATCCACAGCGTCTCGTGAGCCTGTGGAGGACGGTGTAGACACCAAGCCCTAGTATTGGCTGTGCTTGAAAAGTGGAGCCCTGAGATCCTCCGTTGTTTACCCTTGGCTGAAAGCTGCTGTTGCTAATTGCAAAAGCAAACCTGTGCCAAGGGACAGGGAGTTTATTAGTCTCGTGAGACCACATCTCTCTGGTCGGTCTGTAGGAAAGAGAGCTACATGCTGCTGGGGTCCTCTGCTGAAGGTTACTGCCCTGCTGCAATTCTGGGAGAATAAATATTCGCTCTGTCCTGCCTCCCTACAGTTCTTCAGAACAGCAGGGTTTGCTCTAGTTTGAGATATGTTCTGAGCAGTCACAATAAAACTGTGCTGTCCAGGGAGTCCATGTTTTGTTTCTGCTTTCAGAGCGCTGTTAACAAGGGCCTTGTTAATTTTCAGGCAATAATTATCCCAGGAGAGCTGTATAACCGACAGGAATGTGGATAAAGGAGCTTTTCTTAGAGCTTTTGCTGTGTGAACAAAAGGCAGAGCCCAGAGTCATTAGTTAAAACTCTAATTTTCCTGTCTGGCTTGCATTTAATTAACAGACTTTTTTCCTGTGATCAGAACGTTTGCGAAGGCCTGGCTCCAGCCAGCTGCCTCTGACCAGCGCCCTGTGGGTTTTGTTTCTGTTTTGCAGCGATGAACCAGTGGCAGATATTGAAGGCCACAGCATGAGAGTGGCACGTGTGATGTGGCACCCGTCCGGGCGGTTCCTGGGTACTACCTGGTACGGAAATTCTTACTTGCTTTAAGACATCACCCTTAGCTCTCTAGCTGGTAGCCCAGTGGCTACCGCTGGTTGTCTTCTGGGGAGCCCACCACGGGCAACGCTTGGCCGTTCTCTCCCCGGCAGCTGGGCTGTTGCAGCATAAATAACAGTGAGTCTTGAGATTGCTTTCTCTGCCCCTCCTGTGAAACCTGGAAATAAAATTTCCAGACAGTTAGTGAAGTACCCTGTTGACCTCCTTGGAGATACATTTAATGACACAAATGCTTTGTTTTTACAGCTACGATCACTCGTGGCGCTTGTGGGACTTGGAAGCTCAGGAAGAGATTCTCCATCAGGAGGGGCACAGCAAAGGGGTCTACGACATCGCCTTTCACACGGACGGCTCTCTCGCCGGCACTGGGTGAGTTTGCTTTGCATCGGGATGCTGGGCCTGAAATACTATCTGATGCCAAGCGCTCCCGCGGTTTCTGCTGGCGAGGCTGAGTGTGCTCTGGCTCTTGCTGAAGTCTCCGATGGACAACGCTTGGGTTCTCCCTTCCTAGGGGACTGGATGCTTTTGGCCGGGTGTGGGACTTGCGCACAGGACGCTGCATCATGTTTCTAGAAGGTCACCTGAAGGAGATCTACGGGGTTAACTTCTCCCCAAATGGGTAAGGAACGGACTCGTGGTTTAGGTGGGATCTCCGAGCACAAAGCCCAGCTCCCAACAGCATTTTCTTCCTCCTCCTTCTGACAGATACCACGTGGCAACTGGCAGTGGTGACAACACCTGCAAGGTGTGGGACCTCCGCCAGAGGAAGTGCATCTACACCATTCCTGCCCACCAGAACCTGGTGACCGGGGTGAAATTCGAACGTAAGTGCCTCCTGTCCGATATTCCCAATCCCTGCTGCTTTTGAGCTGAGCTGGCAGCGGGGTGGGACAACTCCAAAACACATCCACAGCTCAGGAAGGCCCGTACTCGTTAGCAGAGAAGATTTGTCACGTTTTTATTTGCAAATCTCACTTCTCCCTTCTCATCCTCTGCCGCAGCCAATCATGGTAACTTCCTGCTCACGGGTGCGTACGACAACACTGCCAAGATCTGGACTCACCCCGGCTGGTCCCCTCTGAAGACGCTGGCCGGCCACGAGGGCAAGGTGATGGGACTGGACATCTCCCTTGACGGCCAGCTGATAGCCACCTGCTCCTACGACAGAACCTTCAAGCTGTGGACAGCAGAGTAGCTCAGACGCGCTGCCAAGGAACTGGAATGGAGGCGTTAATGGCTTTGAGCTAAGACTTGCTTTTTTGATATTAAAGAAAAAAAGGAATGGGCCGTTGCAGCGTGCCTTGCGGCAGCTGTACTCACTGCCTGCTCTGGGGTTGAGGTGGTTTTGAAGCATCTGTGCTTGACGGTGCTTGGCTGGAGTCACATCCTGGGTGATGTTTTCCCACTTTTTAGGACTTCGTTTTTACACTGCACATGCTGTAATTGGGAGATGATCCCTCTGCTTCCACCCTCCCTGCCAAGTTAGCCTCACAGGTTTTCTCTGGTCTATTTTAAACAGGGAGGTGGCAGAGAGGTGCACACAACCCCTCAGGCGTGCTGTGTTGTTCAGCCTCTGCCAATTTCCTTCTTGCCTTCCATTTTCTGGGAGCCTTTGGCAGGAGTCTATGGCTTCAAAGTTCACTTGCATTTAAAGAAAGAAGAAGCAGCTGTCAGAGTTGGAGGAGCACGGTCCCCTGCATGCCCTGGCTCTGCCAAGGTGGTCTCTGAATGTGGAGGTCAGGCCCCCCTTTGTGTTCACTCACAGCGGGTGTTAAAGGTCAGGGAGTTTTTTCCATCTACCGTCTCACATCCTAGCTCCTGGAGCAGTCTCATCAGCTGGGTGGTTCAAATCCCTGTTGGTGTCTCCTGGTTAAGTTTTTGTTCTGTCTCACCTGAGATGATACGAAGGTGGCTATTTCAGTGTAGGATCGTCTCGTTCTAACTTACACTGCGGGGAGCTTTCTTACTTGTTGTTTATTCTTTAAATTCAGGTTTTGCAAATATTGCATTCTGGAAAAAACGAATCGCATGTTGAATGCACACCCTAACCTCTGGGGCTGACTGAGCAAGGGAGAAATTACAGGTACTTCACAACACACGGTTTGATTTCTGTCTGCTCTTCTAGAACACCTTCAGGATAAAAGAGAAGACCGATTCATCTCCCCACTGGCAGGTGGAGAGCAGCTCTCTCTGTGCCCTGGGGAGGGACACAGTTCTGTCCTCAACACTGTCCTCTGCAGCTGGAGATCATGTTTTAAGAAAAAAAACCAACAAGCTCAAAAACCTGCTCACAAATTACTTCCAGCAGAATGGTGTGGCTTTCTCCCCCTTTCCCAGTAGTACGGTGGCATCTGCCGCATGCTGTGAGCTGGCTGCTGCCTACTCCCAGGGAAGAGACGATGGGATGAGAGGCCAGCAACTAACAAAAATATTTAATTGCAGTCTCAGGCTGGTTCTGGAGTTATCTCATAAGGTGTTGGCTACAGAGAGGGTCAGAGCCCGACAGCTCTGAGGGGCTCCCAGCCAGGATGAGCCCCAGCAGGGTGTTTGCCACTCACAGGACAAACCTGGCCCAAGCAGGCTTCTGCATTTCTAGCTGGCTTAGGATGAAATCTTGGACACTAGTGAATGTTCTCCTGTGTCGACACTCACATTGCTCCTGGGGCATAAATCCCAGCACAGGGTTTCTGTCGCGCCGTGTTCGGCTCCACCCAGCTGGAGTGAGAGGAAGGAGGCTGAGTGCTCCCTGCCCTGTGCCCTGGCACCCTTTGGTGCTGCCCCTTGGCTCCTCGCAGCTCATCATCTCCTCCCTCAGCCCCGGCTCTGTGCAGCGAGCCTGTGGGGAGGTTCTGTGAATTAAATGTGCAAGGCTCTCTCAGGAGCAAGAGCTTGGCCTGGACGTATCCCACGATTTGGCTTTTAAACAGCTTCAGTGCCTCCCCGCCACCCAAAACTGAAACTGATAACCCCCGCCCCGCTGGTCACGCCTGGTGCTTGCTGTCGGGGGAAGCTCTCGCGGAG